GGTAAAAAAGTAGAAGAAAGAGAAAGTTGATGAGACTAGACATCAAAAGAAGGAACAAACAAAGATAAAGAAAGGTTAGCCATAAAAAATAGATTGACCTAAGAGATATAAAAAGAAGGTGGATTCTTTAAATCAAAGTCTATCTAAGCACATAGCTCTATCGTAATCAAGACCCACTATTCGCTTGCCAAACATTCTCATTATTCCATTGTTACCTTTTCTTGGACATAAGATTGAGCCAATAAGTGTCCTTCTGATAGTCCTGACCTTTAATAATTGGTGAAACTTGGTTGTCGTAGTCTTGCCAGAGCTAACCTTCTAGGTTTTACTTTAAAACTCTTAATTTTCTCAAAACTAAAACTATAAGACATGATGGAAAGAGAACGTATCGAGGAAAATGGAGACAATGAATGAAAAAAAGATAATGGTAAGGTTGAAAAAAAAATCTTTTGAAATTAAAATATTTAGATTGAATAGAGAGCAAGAAAGCATAAAGGTAAAAAAGTAAAAGCCCCAATAGCCTTTTATATGTCACACTTCAGATCAGATTAACAACCCAAATTGCATCATGTGTCAAAATGACATTGAAAGATGTCTTTTTGCCTTCTTCACTCAAAATTTTGCCATTTGAACTACCTCTTTCCTCATTTAATGCAACCTCAATTGTTTAACCCAGTCAAATTGACTAGACTAGACAACTTTCTAGGTTAGATCAGACAGACCATACGGCTCTTCAAGTCAAACTAACCTAGTGAACTGACGATTGGTTCACCATCAAAATTCAAAACAATGATTCAAATTCAAACTTATAGAGAAAATGTTTAAGTCCCACATTGACCAGATAAACTCCCATCTTAATATCGAATCATCCTGAATAAAATGATACTTTGGTAACTATCAATCAACCATGCACTCAAACTAAAACACATGTTTAAGATCAGACTAACACCAGATCGACCCATGTCGTAACACCTTAAGCTGCAGTAAAAAGCCAACTGTCCCTTGATGCTAACCTCCATATCGACGTCAACTATAGGAGATCGAATTCTACATGGTTTCTATTAACCTGGTTGACCTGTATGAAATTATATAACTACACACCTAACAGTCTGATACTTCAACTACTTGGTGAAGAGATAGAATGTTAGGGGCATTTAGTGATCCAAAAGGTATGGTGATCTTTTTTCTCATTAAGAGTTCAAATAGCTAGGGGGTAATTTGGACATTTATGTCAGCTTGACATGTCAAGTCAGCTTGACACGCTCAATGCCACATCAATGCGGTCACGTCATTATTATCTTATATTAGTCCCCTGCCTTTCATTTATAAATATAGACATCCAAGCATTATCATCCCAAGTTTCATTTTGTCTTAATCCCTTACTTTTCTCTCCTTTCGATCTCTTTCATTGTAATATTTAACATGTGTGTTAGGGTACAAACGCAGGAAACACTTTCTGTTTTTGTATCTAACTACTTTTTTTTTTGTTTTTTGCTTATACAAGAACACCCCCATATTGAAACTCGGCACAAACAACCTTTATAACAAGAAAAGCTTTGGTTTGTCCTTGAACATGTTGAAGGTAAAAATGTAGAAGCCTTGCTTGAGGTATGTGATAGTTTATTGGAGATCTGTAATCACTATACCTGTTTATTTCTCTAACATACCTTTTTTCAACCCTATTTTCACAGGGTTTGCTTGAGGCTCGTGAAAAGTTTCGACCATTGTTGTTGAAGTCTAGTGGTTATTTGAAAGATCTATTGTTTTTAGACATTGCCCTTCACTTTATTATCAGGACAACTATTGAAAGAGGTTATGAGGAGCTAAACAATGTTGGACTAGAGGTAAATCCTATCATATTTACCATATCTTATGTCCCATACATTTAATATTTCTATGTAGTGCTTTTTACTGGTTGGTATCTCTATCATATGGCATGATGGTTAATTGTAGTTCCATCTATTAAGTGTATGAATTCCTAATTAGGCTTCTTTGTGCATTTTGCAGAAAATCATGTATTTCATCACTCTCTTTTTAGAAAACCTTGCACTTTCATCAAATGTTTCTTCATGGACATATTTAATTATTTGGCTTGATGTATTATACAGAATTTATAATATTTATGTATTTTTATTTAATTAAACTTCATAAATAATTTAGCAAAATATTATTATATTCTTTTATAAACAAAATGAAGTATTTTGTTTATTTATTTTTTCTATATATATTTTAATATTCATGTAATTACTTTAAAAATAAATTTAAAGAAACTAAAATAAAATGAAAAAACTATAAATAAAATGCAATTAAATATGATTAAAAAATAAATATTTTTGACAAAAATAATTATTATTACCAACGAAATTTTAATTATTACCGACAAAAGTTTTTGCAAAATTGTCAATTAATTTTGAAAAAAAATTATTAAAATAATATATCGATGGTTTACCAACAAAATTTAGTGATGAATTACCTACGAATTCGAATCCGAAGTGAAGAAAACTAAAAGAGGGTTAAAGGTAGACTTGCTCATGAGTCGGGAGGTCCATCCAAATCCAAAAGCCTGTCTGAAATTTTGAAAAGGCTTTGACATAAATATTAAGTTCGTTAAATGGGCCTGAACAAATAAATAAGACCTGATAAAAAAAAAAAAAGGATTGGCTTGGGTTTCATCATTTAAGCCCAGCTTGAAAATTAAAAAAATTTTTTATCATAATGTGACAAAGCTCATCTGCTTTATTTTTTATAATGGATAATGCACATTTACTTTATTACTTATAATATGATAAAACTTATTTTTTATATAAAATAATGATCTAATTTTAAATTATATTCAACAAAATTAAATTAGATTCGAATCTAAATAACTTATAAATTTAATTAAAATTAATTAAATTAGTAATTTACAAAAAAATAAAAAAAAATTTATAATTTTAAATATCAATATTTTAGATAAGCGTAAACTTTATTATTACATATAAAAAAAAACTTAAATAAAAAATAAGATTTGAAAAATCAAATCAAATTGAATTTAAACTTACTTAAAATACTATAATACTATATCAGATTTAGCTCAAATGTAATTCGACCTAACCCACGAGCAGATCTGGTTAAAGAGGAAAGCACGACATAAAAGATGGCGGATGATGGCTTTAACTGTAGCGGTCAATAGCTGTAACAATGGCTAAACTTTTCCATGCTTGGTTCGGGCTAAGGATCAGGGTTGAGGTAGTAAAAAAGGAAGAAAAAAAAAATGCATTTACATACTGCTTAAAGAAAGTCATGTTGGTAGTTCATGTGAAAAAAAAATTATCACCTTAGCAACTTAATTATGATTTTGTAATTTGATTGGTGTGTTGCCTGCACTTCGTTGCAAATATTTTATTTGTAAGACAACTTAAAGATATAATATATTTAATATTATATTATAAGATACATGATTATTTAATATTATATTTATTTGAAACGTAAGATGATTTTTATTTTTTATTTATTTGACAAGTAAAATAAGTTTTATTTTTATGTTTTTTTCAATTAAATTAAATAAATATATTTAAAATAATTATTAGTTATTTAAGTTTCTATTATATTTTAAATCTAATATTGATCTGATTTATAATTAACAAATTAAAAAAAATCCGAAAAGATAAATATTTTAGATTTGAAAAAAGTGAAGATTCAAATAATAGATTAACCTCGAAATAAAAATTTCAAACTTTAAAATCTCCAAAAGATATTTTTATCTTATAAATTTTCACTTCTTTTTAAACTTCTTTAAAATTTGAAATTATAATATCGTTTATTATTTTTAAATTTGAAATATATTTATTAATTTAAATTAACTAAAATTTATTTTAAAATTCACTCTTTTAAAATTATATAAAAAATATACTAAAAAATCCTATGCATTGCGCAGATTAAAAAAGTTAATTTTAGTTAATATAACATAAAACATAAGTTATATAAAAACACATATAAAGTTATAAGTCAAACAAAAAAATAAATTTAGATATTAATTACAAAAAACTTAGATTAGCATTTTCTCTTTGTCATCGAATTTTTAGATTTTAACCTTTTTTTAGTGCATTCATTTTTAATAACAAAAATTCAAGATTAAAAAAATCATTAGAATTACACAAATATATATAAAAAAAATTGACATTAGAAGTAGTTGAAAAAAATAAAATATCTATTAAACGGGCATTAACTACAAAGTCCACAATTACATTGAACTGTCACCTGCCAAGGAAAATAAATAATCATATTAGATTTAATGCCAACTGAAGGTGTCCATGTGATTAGAGAAGGCAAAAAAACTCGTATCCGACGGTTTCGATCTGACTTTTTAAAATCGATTTTTTTTTTTCAAAAAATCGAGTATCAGGTATCGGGTCAGGGTCAAGTTGGGTGGTATGAAGAAAAAGTCGGGGTCGGGTTTTAGGTAAACCGATCCTATCCGATCCGATATATATATAAAATAATTTTTTAATTATTTATTTAATTTTATAATTATTTATATATATTTAATTTTATATTTATATTAAAAATAATATTTTATTAATTTCAAGTCGAATCGGATCGGATATGATTTTATACAATGACAAATCAAATTGAATTCGGATATAAAAAAAAAAAAAATTATCGAATCAAATCGGATTCGGAACGAGCAAAAACCCCCCCAACCCATTATCATCCCTACATGTGACAGATGAGGCCCCCCAATAATATTAGAGGTGTTCAAGTAAAAAAAAAAAAAAGTACTTTTTTCTTTAAGAAAAAATGTTGTTTCTTTCTTGAACAACAAGATAAAATAACAAACAATTAGAATACAACACTTTAACTAAATTAAAATATAAGCAAAAGATTTCTATACCAAACCATTAAAATGTACAATACAAGATTCAAATTCAACTGGAGCAATCTAAAAATAGTAATTATAATGGTTTCATTATCTTAAACTATAGCTTTATACCGTATGCGATGAGTCAATTACTGGGGCTTTAAATGACACTTGGGTTCACAGAAACAAACGCAAGCAGTTCTTCGTTGCGTTCAAAGAAAGCCATTTCAGCTTCAGTCAAGCTCAGCCATGCTTCTATTCCCTCACTGTCGCTTGAGTCCATCAATATAAAATAATTTGGCGGCGTGACACCGCCGAGGCTAACCCATCTGGGCTTTCCCCATCCAAAATCAGTTCCATATGGCTGGAATCTGCACCAACTGGTGCAGCAATAGTAGTCAACATTTTCTCTTTCGTACAACTTCTCATATGTTTTGGAATCCTCAAGGATTGAAGAAATTGTAAAGCTTCCTGCAGAATTTTCACAGAATTCTCTAATTCCATTCCTTAATTGTTGAACCAAGCCCTGCAATTCGGTTTCACAATCTGGCGTCTGTGCAATAAACCCATATACAAGATTCCCAATACAGTTTTCAGGCAGGGGAGGCTTCATCCTTTTACGCAAGTTCACAGCTTGAGCCAACACAGATGGCTTTGTGAATCCACCACGATTTGATGTTGATGCAGCCATTGCACATTTCCAAATAAGTGCTGTCACAGCTTCAACACGAGTAGGCTGTGGCACGTCTGTACTAGCAGCTTGAGCCTTGAGCGTCAAAATCTTTGAAGCATCGAATACTAATCTCCTCGTTGCAAACTTTTGTCCCTTGAATTCCATTTCCAACACTTTTGACGGTAAATCCATATGTGGGAACAACGATGAAGCAGTTACAAGCTCCGAACGGACCACTTCGCTAGAGCCCTGAGCCATGGCGGCCCAACTCTCTATGAAAATGCTCAAGGTGGATAAATCAGCGACCTTGTGTGAAATGTTTACGCCAATTGCCATGCCCCCACACTGAAAGAAGTTGACCTTAACAAGCAATATGCGTCCCGTTGCTGCTTCTGGGGATTCCAAACGCATAGGCAGAAGTTTCTTCAGCAACTCGCCATCCGGTTGCTTGAAAATGTCCTGGAGAAGGCAGTTAACTCGAGCTTCGATGAAGTCAACCCCTTCATCATTACATTCAATCCAGCTACTTCTCATCCTCCCTGCAAAAGGGTAGAAGCGACCTAGAGTTTTGGATAAGGATTTCTTGAGTCGCTGGGATATTTCTTTAGCCTTGGAAAAATCAGCAGCAGCAGCATCAGTATCGTTAAGATACCAAAAAATTACCGGTATGTAAATTGTAGGAGCAATCTGCTCAAGAAGTGACAGCTTGAAAATTTTCTGGTTAAGGGGAGTTGGTGAAGAAGGTTTAATGGTTTCTTCATGGATGGTTTCAACTATGAATTCCATAGCCATCTTTGCTCGTGCTTATTCAGTCATTCACATGGATATTTGTACCTGATGATAAGATTTATACAGCCAGTAGCCCATGGAAAACGAATACACTAATCATATTCTACAAATTATGATTTTTTTTCTTTTTTTTATTTAGGACACTATCCATTTGTATATTTTCAAGTTGCACAAAGGATGTCAGCTTGACAGCAGAAATTGCTAAACGACCACAGATTACAATTACATTGATGGGAAAGCAAGAAAAAGATTTAGTACAACGTCAATTACCATGGAAGCTTGATTTATGTATTACATTATAAAATGATTTTTTTTTCTTTTTAGCTATTCAAAATGTCTTTATGCTTTAGGTCCATTTTGATTCGATGGCCAGAATGGAATCTAAACAAAAAGGTACCTCCAAATGCATCGCCGGGTGCATTTGGATGTGCCCAGCTTCCAACTCATTATCCTTTCAGTTTTCAATTGGAGATGGAGGGACCCAGTGATCCATTGCATTCTAAAGCGGTGGATTCTAAAGCAGTCCATTATTCTACTTAGAAAAGTCAATTATTTTAGCCTAAAATTAAAAAATAAGAAAATTTTCGATTATTAATTATCTTTGATGAGATAGTTGATTATTAATCTAATTTTATTGTATTTATATTTAAATATATATCATTTTTAATTTTAATTTTATCGATATAACATTTAATTTCATTAATATAATAATTAATTTTAATATTATCATTATGTTCAATCTCATCTGACCAATTTCATTATCTATTTAAATGAAATCTTAAATTATAACTTTTACTAAGAGAGTTAAAATAAAATATTATCTGAATTTGAGAATGACGTTAAATTTTTTTTGGGAAATTATGTGTTTAGCTTCAAGAAAAAAATATTTTCATATTTTTAAAAATAATATTTATTTTTTTCATTTTCTTTTTCAATTGAAAATGTATGGTAAATAAAAATATAATATAATTTTTAAAATAAAAATATTGAAAATGTACTTGGTATTCCTATTTTTCAATTCCCTGACAATGATGGAAAAGTTATATGAAAAATATCCATGTCAAAGATGGAGACGGCTGCCTGTAAACGAATTGAATATGAGCAAATAAATATATATTTGTATTCGTTTGTTTATTTTAAAAATTATTTGTATTTAATTTATGTTTGATTTGTATTTATTAAAAAATTATTTTATTTATTTATATTTATTTGTTGAAATAATAAGTTATTAATGTTCGTTCAATTAAATTAAACAAACTCGTTCATAAATATTAAATAAATATATTTATAAATATATATAAATAATTATATTCATAAATAATAAATAAATTATAATCAAATAAATTTAAATAAATAAATCTTTAACGAATATAAAAGAACATAAATAAATATAAACGAATCTTAAAATAAGATTAAGATAAAAGATAAAAATATAATTTTATTAATATTATTATAAACAAATAACAAATAAATAATAAACAATCGAATTTTAAATAAATAATAAATAAATTTATTTTTAAATATAAATGAACGAATAAATAATTATTTATATTAGATTCATTTAGTAAATGAATATATAAATGATATTTAAAATTATTTATTAAACTTAATAAATAAATATAAATGAATAAAAATTATACATATTCCTGAATCATTAAAAACTCTGGTTGCTTATACCTTAAGAATAATGCAGCAGTTGCCGATGCCCAAAGATGCCAAAAAACGAATGCAGGAAGCATAGTGGTCAAACGGAGCAGTTGCGTTTGACTTGTTAAAACCACAAGCCTGTCAGCTGTCAATTGGCCTTGCGAAGCCAAACAAACAACACAGTACAACATGAAAGTAGGGTTAAGCAATCAATTTAAGACCCAAGTAACTACTTGATAATCCTTTTTAACCCTTTTTTTTTCCTCTGAAGAGTGATATAATGCTGCTAACTTAGTTCCTCAACACAAAATTAACGTGCAATTTAACATCTAATCTATCACTTTTTATTATTTGATATTTATAAAAAATTCATAATTAAATATTTGAAATTAAATTTCATCAAATATTTTACTTCATAAGTTAATTTTGTTAATAATAAATTGATATGATAAAAATAATAATAATATCATAACACATATTAATTATCTTTTAGATCAATTGACATATTATTAAAGTTAATATTTATTTTTTGGATAAGTTGATATATCATCAAAATTAACTTTTGAAAGTTACGAATTCAAAAAAATTTAAATGCGTAATATTTTTTTTAACCATATATATAATAAAGTATCAAAATTTAAAGATATATTAAGAACTTCAAAAATAATATCATAACATGTGACACCTTTTTATTGATAGAATTTGCTATGTTAGTGTTTCGTCTATCGGTATCATTGAATGATGAAAAATAATTGTCGAAAATAAAATTTAAATACCTAATCACGAATTTTTTCTATAAATATCAAATCATTAAAAGCAATATAATTTAAGAGTCAAATTACATATTAACCCTTTTTTTAACTAAGATTAACACGATGTTGACTACCAGCCTGACCTTTTTTTCCTATTTTCCTCCACCATTGAATGAGTGTTTATGGATATGTAATTTGATGCTAACCAAGAAGAATACTTTAACAAAAATGTTTATTAAGTTTCACTAACGGCTGGCACCTACATACAGCAATCTCGGATTCCTTTTTGGTAGTAGACAAGGCTGGTACTTCCGTCCCAGGAGGAAATCTGATACTGCTCAAATCTCTCTATCTCTTACCAGATGAGCCATTATTGGTGTTTGCTTTGTGGGCAATGAGCACTGCTTTACTGCCATAAGCTTTCTTTTCAGCAAGTTCTTCCAAGCGTTTCCATGTAGTTTCGCGTCTCGCTGCAATCTCATCTTCCTTTGATTCATCTTCCTGAAACATAAGCAAGCATTCATTGAACAGCTCTGGATCAAGATCATAGAAGATTTTGCGGACATTTAGAGTCAAGCTTTGTACAGCCTGATTCCAGTGATTTCTAGCATTTTTCTCCAAGGCAGGTAAAATAATGGGCAGTATAACCTTGCGGTTTTGAACAATTAAGTTCTCAATGTGATCATTGTTCCACAAAAACAAAGCTCGCTCAGCTACCTGAGAAGCAAAAGTAGAAAAAATCAACAGTTGCATAATGACGTTCAGGGATCAAGGAAAAATTCATCAGTTCCATGAAGGTCACAATGGATAGAACCTATCATCTCGCAAGGTAATATCACCCCAAAATATATAAATAAAAAAAAAAGATTTCAAAATCTTCATAGCGAACAAAATTCTGGATGCAGAAATATTATAAAATAAAGTTGTTCAAAGCTTTGAGTTCAGCCGTATAGAGGAAAAACCAATGGCAGGTGATATAGTCTCAATATATTACAGATCGCATTATCCATAATATCTGTTATAAAACAAGCCAAAAACAGCATCAATTGAATTGCATATTCAAGAAAGCTCAGCTTGAGGAGGGATGGAAAACATAAAAGTCTCCTTTGGTCAAAAGCCATGATTAACTAAAGAGCTGAGATAATAAAAGAAAAAAAGAAGTAAGAAAAGGTCCCATGTATGTAACCATAATAAGATATGCAGTAGCTCCATTGCTGCACCCTCACTTTATTGCAGCAACAAACATTAAAATAAGAGTAGGACCAACAATTATGCCTAAATACAAAACAATTTTCAATCAACGGAAGAAAAAGGTGCTTTAGTTATAAATATTTTACCTACCTGAGCAATTTCAACTTGCCAATATAACCATTAAACACTAAAGCACTCAAAAACAGAAAAAAAAAAAAAAAAAAAAAAAAAGAAAACAGACACGAAATTAATTCGAATTAGCGATAAGATTTTGCTTTCAAAACCATTTTAAAGTCCATAAAACTTGTAATAGTGTTGCGAAAACCACACTACAATTCCTTTTCATACCCCTACACTTATTCGATAATTGCATTAGGGGAACCTCATGAAAATACAATTGAAAATAGCATTTCATAGAGCCTTGAGATTAGCTAATTCCAAATTTCTAGGAATCACTAAACCATTTCTGAGTCTACAATCAGGTACCCTGTCTAAACAGTATATTTCCATAATACAAACTCAACACCAATGAGAATGAAACTAAATGTACAAAATGGAATCAATATTTAATAAGCTCAACTTTGTGACCTACTTTGTGCTGCTCTAACATCAATAGACAAATTCAAACCAACCATTAGAGATCTATCACACAATGAATCACCCATATTATCCCTTAAAATTCACTTATCTTTGCATTACACATTTTAGGAAAAAATGAGAGCATTTCAAGCAAATGGTCAAGAACCCAAGTTGGTCAATATTAAAAATATAGTAGGCAATAGACTTGAATTTGAATCAAAAACAGCTTTCCATGGTACAGATTCATGAGTTCAAATAATCCTATAAAATCTGCAATATGTGAGAACAGAAACAACAGACATTGATGAGTGAGGGGAGGGGGGGGATTAAATGCAGTGGCAGTATGGATTAAAAACAATAAGAAAAATGTCTAATGAATGCCACAAAAATAAATCCAAAATGAATCCACATTATGGGATGTATGATGCATTCAATATTAAGTAAAGACAATGAGTTCTCCAAGTCGAAGATATGAAATAAACAAGTTTAAATTATCATCCTTGTCAAATTAAAAGACATTTAAAAAAGAAGCCTTTTGCACCTAAACAGAATAAGAAACTAAAGGCAAAGCAGAACACAACTTTCCAAAACTTCTCACCTGAAAGTGCAAACTGTTCAAACAACGAGCAATTTGGCGAAATAAAGGCACCATGCAGCGCTGGAATTCTGGTGGCTGAGTTGCCTCTAAAACTTCCTCCAATTCATTTAGGAACATGACTTCCTTTGAACTATTTGTGATGGGCCAGTACTTTAATAACCCCCTAATGACAGTATCAGCAAGCTTGCAGTCTTTCTCCACAAACTGCGTAATGCAGTAAGATAACTGCTGATGATACATTGCCAAGCATTTCGGTTTATGCAATGGGATTAGTGCCCGAACAAGGAACACTTTATGTTCTTCTTTCAGTGGCAGAGCAAACCCATTAATTATGCTGCCCAAAATTTCTAGAAGTTCAGCAATCCCATTATGTTTCTCAGTCTCAAAAATAAAATGGAAAAAAATGTTGTTTATAGCTTTCCTAATGAATGGTCGATGCACCATAAATTTGCCATAGGTGCGATGAAGAATTGTTTTCAAATATTCCCTTTCTCTAGGATCTTCAGAATCAAATAAGTCAAGCAATTTGATTATGAAGGATTGATCAACATATCTTTTGGCCAATTTTGCATCAGTCTCAGGTGAGGCTACAAACCTCAAAAGAAACTCATATACAATTTGCAAGTGTGGCCAAGCAGGATCCATTGAAGGTTCCTCTTCATCCAAATCAAGGCCCTCTACAACATTATTCTCACGTGGTTGGGAAGTAAGGCTCCTAAACAAGTTTGCAGATACCATTTTAACAACTTCTAGCAGAACAGCATCGGCAAATCTCCCATTTGCAGAAGTCACATACTCCACAAGCTCTAACAACATCTGTCGCTTGATCTCCTTTTCTTTAAGGTTCTTGGTGGGGTCATTGAAATCAAATACGACACAACACAAGTTAAGCTTTTTTATGAATAAGTTCGGCTTCTCTGAAGCTGGAACATCCTTGAAAGCAGGCAATGCTTCATATGAAGATAACACATGGTTCCCATTGGGCTTCAAATTTGCTCCTTTACATCCAACATCTGCCGTAGAATTAGGTGCTGGAAAAGATGAGAAACTTAAATTTCCTGGCTTGCCGGTTCCTAAATCACTGCTCCTCGCACCACCAGAAACATTAGAATAAGTAGCATGGTTTCCACCATTTTCACGACTATCAGATGTCCTCGATGACTTGCGGGGAAGCTTACTTAGAATCTGTTTGAGCATGATTCACCCTCCTTAATACCACAATGCTGATTTCCACAAATATACTAGGAAGAGTCAACTGCTAATCACTAATCAGAATTCATCAACTACCAAAACCCACATTCTATATCACCTATAGAGAAAATTCAAAATCATAAGACTCAGCTCAAACTAACTTGCTATAAAAACCAAAAATTTGTGCCCACAGGGAAACCAAAATTCGCTACCATAAGAAAAACCAAAAATAAACTGCTAAAACAAAAGAACTAGCCAAAATTCCAGATTTTTCTAATATCAACCATCCAAAACAGAAACCCTTTTTTAGCTTCAAGCCCCTTGTCTGAAATCAGGCCAACCCTTTTCTCTACAACAGTACCCAATTGCAAAAATTCAAACTTTCAGGCTTAAAAAGCAAAACCCAGAAGTACAAACTCACTCAAAACAAAAGATCAGCACCAGCTTCTCTGTTCTTCTACCAAGGAAAGTAGAAAAAAAAAAAAAGAAATCCAGTAAATCTCAGCACCAGATTCGAATTTATCCACAAGATGAATTGAAACAATCATGTATTAAAAGAAAAAGAAAGAAAGAAAGAAAGAACACATGCAAGAAAACACAGTGTTAAAATTTGAGAATTAAAATAAAAGGAGAGAAGGGGAGGCTGCTGCAACTACTTACAGAGAAAAGAATTACAAAATATTTCAATCTTGGTTTGCTCGTTGTTCTTTGTTGACTATATTTTTTTTTCTTTATTAATTTTCTCGTGATTTCAGTTATTCTTTCTCGATAACTAGTCCATCTATCTCTGAATTTTTCAATTTTCTACTCTTTTCCTGGGACTTCTTTCGTACTCAAAAAGTTAAATCGAAAACAGAAACCTGAAAATCCAAAACCAGTGTCTGCTAACGACGTCGTTCTCGATAGAAATTTTATTTTTTTCTTGTATTTATTTTCTTTTTACTTATTATTATATAATAATTTTTGAAACAGATCTGGAAAAAAATTTTGAAACGAGTTTTGCGGGTGAATGTACAATGTTTGTGCAATTGATTATAAATCAGGACTTCTTATATTTTTATTATATCTATTTTATATCAAATATTTATAAAACATAACATTATCGAATTATAATTTACATTATTACATTAATTAAAATATATATTTTTTAAACTCATACATAAATTTTTATTAAAATTTTAAATTATATATTATAATATATTTTTTATATTGTTTCATGTCATGTCTAGTTTAATCTGACTTTTAAGGTTTTCACCGACCGACTGGATAATGACCTTCTGACTTGATGGCACGAAAAAAACCTACATTATCTGCACTCACGGACCAAATCCACTCATTATTGAATTCAGCTTAATGGTTCATTAAAGCCTCTGATGATCAACCATTAGTACAGCTCCTAATGAATTTTAATTAAATCTGTTAATTTATATATTTTTATCATATAAAATATTAAAATTTATATATTTTTATTTTATTTTATATAAAAATTATATATTATAATTCATATCAATACAAAAATATAAAATTTTATTTTTTATTTTATTAAATTTATAAATTATTATTATTATAATTTTAAATTATATTAATTTTATATTTTATTTTTGTATAATATTCATATCTCGATACTTTTAAGGTAGCACGTTTACTTTCAACCCTCTTTTCAAAAGTGATCAACTCAATTAATGTAAGTGAGAACCAATATACATGGGCAGGCTTTCCAGATGTCCGTACAAGTACAACGAAGAGCCTAGTCCTAACAGGGGCCTATTTATGTGCTGCTTCAGGCCCATGTAGTTTATAACAGGCTTTTAGTGTTTCTTCAAAGGCTTTTCTGTCTATGGGGCTCGAGGCCCATTTGAATGGAGCCATTGTCCAAGGAGGAGAAACCAGAGAACCGAAAAACAGGAACGAGACCATGAAAGCCCTCAAAATTTCTTTTAATCAATTTTTGCGTTTGGTAGGCGAGAAAAAGAGAAAAAAAATCTGATTTCTCCATTGGAGGAAATCCATGGCTCCGAAGCCCAAAGAGAAGCCAAAAGGGGCTCCATCGCCGTCGCAGCCTCCTCCCCCTATCGAAGACCTTTTCACTTCACTCAACAGACACATCCAACGATCCGAATTAACACAAGTCGTCAAAGTTGCAAATCAAGGTTTGTTTCATTCATAATTTTATTTTCTTTTCAAAATCGATCACATCTAATGAATTTAAAATTATTAATTTACTTTTGAATGTACGCAGTTTTGTCCGTCGCGCCAGGAGATGAAGATGCCATTCGATGCAAAGTCGTGGCGTTGATAAAGTGCGATAAGATTGGTGAGGCTCTCTCAACAATGCAGTCTGCTCAGAAGGTTTCTTCTGATTTCAGTTTTTACAAGGTCGGTCAATTCCCCTATTTTTATCTGATCTTAGTTTCAATTTTATGCGATTATTGAGTGGCTCGCTTTCACCGCACTATGTAAATTGATCGTATTAATTTAATTGAAGGACGCTAGGGATTTGAACTTACTAAGGTATGACCTTGGATGCAAAAGTAAATAATATTATTGAGCAATTAAAACGGAATTATCAAATATTTGTAAATAGCAAGAAAGCAAGAATTCACTTTTATATATGGAACAGTTATGTGTCAATGTATATTTCATTTTAGGTATTTGTACATTTTTAATCATAATTAGAAATTCACGAGACAGCAGAAATTAAATGGCAAAAACTATAACCAGACAGTGGTTATGTTAATTTTATTTACTTTGATTGATATATCATTTAGTAGATTTGGGAAGTTCGCAAGTCGTCATGATTCTCTGTAAAGGGTTTTTATTTTTTGGAACTTATATGCAAGTGTTTTTTTTAGTTATTTTCAGTCTTATCTTATTAATTCGTCATCTCTTTTTTCTTTTTAATGATTCACACGTGTATGCAAATATACAGTTTGACCTCTTTATTCATGTTTCACTCTGCAACACATGTTTGCTTTCTTGATATTTAATTTATTTGATCAATAATAGATCACCACATTTTGGCTGCATTGATGTTCCAAAACTAATAACTTATTTCTATTAATAGTCTTTTTTATCTTGCTATCTTTAAATAGGCATATTGCCTATACAGACAAAACAAGTTGAATGAAGCTTTGGAGTTTTTGGAGAAGCAAGATAAGACTCAACCAAGCATGTTGTTAGAATCTCAGATCCTGTATCGTCTAGGAAAAATGGATGCTTGTGTTGATATCTGCCGGAATCTTCAAAGAGCAAAGATTGATTCCTTGGAAATAAATTTGGTTGCTGGTTTGATTTCGGCTGGGAGAGCTTTTGAAGTACAAGGAACTTTGGACGCTTTTAAGGTTAAGGCAACTAGCAGTTTTGAGTTGGCTTATAATATTGCTTGTTCTTTAATTGAAGGAAATAAGCATAAGGATGCTGAACAACTCTTGCTCACAGCCCGAAGGTATTGCAGTATTTTTTGTCCCGATTAACGTTGTCTGTTCTAGTGCTCTGGCTTTTCAGAGAACTGATATAACTTATTGCTTTGCTTATTCACTTGGATATTAAGATGTATCCAAATAGTTGTGGACCGTAAATTTACTGACATCAAATGCTGATAAATGTGCCTTTTCTTATTTTTGTCTTTTTTTTTTTTTGTTAGAATTGGTCAGGAAACACTGACAGAAGAGAGCCTTGCTGATGATGATATAGAGATTGAACTAGCTCCAATTGCTGTCCAATTAGCTTATGTTCAGCAGGTAAAACAACAGCATGATGCAAGCATTTTCCATATTATTTCCCTTGTTTCTATTCTTCCTACAAAGGGAGGTAACACAGCAGCCACTAATGTGAGTCAGTTTGTTTTATCAGCTCCTTGGTCACACACAGGAGGCAGTTGGAGCTTATACAGATATCATAAACCGAAGTCTGGCAGATGAACCATCACTTGCGGTGGCAGTGAACAACCTTATTGCAGTGAAAGGGCCAAAAGATATATCTGATGGCTTAAGGAAACTTGATCGGCTTAAAGAGAAAGACTCACAGAAGTTTCAGCTTGCACATTCAATTGACTTGAAGCTTTCACCAAAACAAAAAGAGACAATATATGTGAATCGTGTTCTTCTACTTCTTCATGCAAATAAGATGGATCAGGTTTTCTGTTTTGGGGTTTTGCATTTCTCACTTTTGATCTGCTTTGTTTCTTCAACTCTCTTTTTTGAGAACAAAGACAGCCAACTAATCAATTTGGAAGTTTTTCTTATTTCTTCTATTTGTTGATGAAATTCTACAGGCTCGGGAACTTGTTGCTGTTTTACCTGAGCTGTTTCCTGACAGTTTGATGCCAGTACTGCTCCAAGCTGCACTCTTGGTGAGAGAAAACAAGGCAGGGAAAGCTGAAGAAATGTTGGGTCAGTTTGCTGAGAAATTCCCTGAAAAGTCAAAGATCATTCTCTTAGCAAGGGCACAGGTTGCTGCTGCTGCTGGTCACCCTCAAATTGCGGCTGAATCCCTTGCTAAGGTGCCTGATATCCAGCACATGCCTGCCACTGTTGCCACCCTTGTTGCTCTCAAAGAGCGTGCTGGGGATATAAATGGTGCAGTCACTGTACTTGACTCCACAATCAAATGGTGGAAAACTGCCATGACTGAGGATGACCAGCTTAGTATTATTATGCAAGAGGCTGCTTCCTTCAAGCTCAGGCACAGCAAGGAGGAGGATGCTGCCCATCTATACGAGGAGCTTGTAAAAAGTCATGGAAGTATAGAGGCATTGGTTGGGCTGATAACTACAGTTGCTCATGTGAATGTTGATAAGGCCGAAGCTTATGAGAAGCAACTGAAGCCATTACCAGGTTTGAAGGGGGTTGATGTGGATGGTTTGGAGAGAACTTCTGGGGCAAAACATGTAGAAGGTGCTTCTCATGGTGGGCTTTCTGAAGCTCAAGAGGATGGTAAGACTAAGGATAAACCAAAGAAAAAGAGGAAGAGAAAGCCAAGGTATCCCAAAGGGTTTGACCCGGCAAATCCAGGTCCCCCACCAGATCCAGAAAGATGGCTTCCGAAGAGGGAAAGGTCAAGTTACAGGCCTAAGAGAAAGGATAAGAGAGCAGCTCAGGTGAGAGGCTCTCAGGGTGCAGTAGTTAGAGACAAGACTGAAGCTAGTGCCTCAGCTACCAATTCTAATGGTTCTAACATGAAATCAAACCAAGCTGCTAGTTTGAAAGGAGTTTCACAGAATGCCGAGCCATCCAGACCTCAATCTAAGTCATCAAGAAAGAAGTCAAGAAATTAATCAGGAGAAAACAACATTTTTGTGGTAAGAAAGTTGGAAATTGTTTCACACGAGCATTATGTGTTCTTCATTGATCTTGATAGACTAGAGTTTAACTAATTTGTGATGTTGGCTTCATATAAAACCTATCAAGTCTTGAGGATTTTTTTGGAGGGAGAGTTAGTGTTTCATAATTTCATTGGATTTTGTTATACTCCATTGTATCTGTATCACTGGCTATTTTCGTGAAAGTTAGCTGAGCACCGTTTGCTCTTGAAAATAACTAGAACATATCCTTGGCTTGGAGACCTTCTCTGGTCTCTGAGGAATCGGGTGCTTTGACTTGAGGAAGAGGGAAAAGCGGCCGGGAACAACTGCTTCTGCCGTTGGCGAAAGGAGCTTGGACATGTCAATTGTTCTAAGCTTTGAGTTCAAGAATGTTTTTGAGGTTTCCTCCCTTGCGCAGGGGGTTATTCATGGCTGCAAGTTCCGGAGGATTCCTATTACAGTCTTCGAAAATCAATAAGCCAAAGCGGATCGAAGGTGGTTAGGGATTAAAAAAAGAATTCAGAAGAAAGAAGAGAAATATTATTTAAATATATAAAAGTCAAAGCTTTTGGTAAAAATGAAAAATATCTTATGTGGATGGCTTAAAATGTTCATGTGAACGATTTTAAAAATCATGACATTTAATAAATGCAATTTATTTTATTTAATATACTTTTAATTTAAAAATAATTCAAAAAAATGATTATATTCATGTTTTTATTAACTTTAAATTATTTTTAATTCAATTCATATTAAAGTATTAAAATTTTAAAAAAATTTTAATTTGATAAATTAAATCAATTAATATATAATTAATAAATTAATAAATATTAGAATTACAATTATAAAATAATTTATTTTTCAATCAATTATCTGATATATTTATATTTGATTAAATATAGTATCCATTTGTGTAATTAATGTATTTCATGTGTAAATTATATAAAGCAAATTTAATTCAAAAAATTAAATTGATTATATTTATGTTTTTATTATTGATTTTAAATTACTCTTAATTCAATTCATATTAAAAGTATTAAAAATTTAAAATTTTCTTAATTTGACAAATTAAATCAATTAATATATAATTAATAAATTAATAAATACTACAATTACAACTATAAAATAGTTGATTCTCTAATAAATTTTTTGATACATTTATATTTGATTAAATATAGTATCCATTTGAGTAAATGATTTATTTCATGATTTATTTCATGTGTAAATATATAAAGCAAATATATCAAATTAATTCTCCATAATTAAATAAATAGAATAAAACGTTTTATTAATTTATATTTGATTGATACATTTATATTTCATTAAATATGATTTCATTTAATTTCATTTTATAAATATATTAACACATGTTGATTTCCTTTTGTTTTTATTTGTAACTTTTTATAATTTTATTATTTGATATATAATGCACGTTGATTTAATTAAAATTTAATTTTTTATTGCTATTATTAAATACAATAAATTTAATTTGTTTTATAATTCAAAATTAAGGGATTTTTAAATGATAATAGCATAATAAAATATTTCGATATCGATCAACTTGCCATTATTAGATCATTATTCACTAGCAAATTTCATAATTTAAAATTATCTTATTAATTGACTTTATTTATGTTTTTATTATTAATTTTAAATCACTCTCGATTCAAATCATATTAAAAGTATTAAAATTTTAAATTTTCTTAATTTGACAAATTAAATCAATCAATATATAATTAATAATTTAATAAATACTACAATTATAATTATAAAATAATTGATTCTCTAATCAATTATTTGATACATTTATATTTGATTAAATATAGTATTAATTTGAGTAATTGATGTATTTTATGTGTAAATATAGAAAGTAAATATACCAAATTAATTCTCCATAATTAAATTAATTGAATAAAAATATTTTATTAATTTATATTGATTTTATTTGATAAAATATTAATGTACGCAGATTTCATTTGATTTCATTGTTAAAATATTAATGCACATTTGATTTTATTTGATAAAATATTAATGTACATGGATTCATTTGATTTCATTTGTAACGTTTTATAATTTTAAAATATAGATATTAATGCACATTGATTTAATTAAATTTAATTTGTTTTATTGCCATTATTAAATATAATAAATTTAATTTTTTTATTATTTTAAATTAAAGAATCTCTAAATGTTAATAGTTGAATAAAATACTTTAATATCAATCAACTTATCATTGTTGGACCATTATTTACTTACAATTTTTATTATTTCAATATTAACTTTTATAATTTAAAATTATTTTATTAATTAACCTACTCACACATTTTGTGTAAGTAGCTTTAAGTTAAACATAATACATCTTTAACCACTTTTTATTTATTTTATATATTTTGATTACTATTTAACTCTACTTTAATTTTCTTTTTCAAATGTTGTTGGAAAATTAAAATGCATAACTCTAATTAATGATCAAGCTTTGAATAAGTTCAGGCAAAAGAAAAGAATAATAGAGCTTCAAGATGAAATGTTTGTTTTTTAATCTTCCCTTTCATTATATTATCAATTTCTTATGTTTATATTAATATTTTATATTATTTTATCCTTTTAAGTTAAATAAGATATTAATATTATTATTTTTTTAGTGATAAAAAATTAGAGATAGCTCTTTAGGTGACATTATTAATCAAATTAATGATAATGTCTTGAACTCAATGCAACATTTTATAGTGTTGGTTGTTACTTCTAATTCAATCAAAAAGTTAAAAGTACTTTCAAAATTATTTTATATTTTTTATTAAATTTCATAAATATCTATAACTTTCTTTTTTCAAATTTATTGACATTTGTAATGTATCTTTAACGAGTGAAACAACGATTTACATCAATCTAGATATCCTTGAAGTCTCAATAATTTTATAAAGGTATAATAGCTTAGATAATTTTTTTTTTAAATTAATGCTTTTATGATAAATTAATATTTTATTTTACTCTTTTTGGTATTTAGCTTGTCTAAGAAAGATTTTGATGTAAAACTTTATCGTACATCGCATAAAAAACTACTTTCAGAGGAGGTTTTAGTGTTTAGAAATAGAAAGCCTTTGTTAGAGATTAAAGCAATAATCACAAAGTTAATGTGCAAAAAATATTAGAGAATTAATTACTGTATTTTTGTTTTAATAATAATATATAAAAAAAATTTTATGAAAAAAATTGTGTGTGCTATTGATTTTAAATATAAAAATTTTTATTTTTTGATATCGAAAATATTATTAATTTTTATTTAAAAATTATTTGGATTCAATAAATTATAATTTAAGTTTTTTTTTAAAACATGATCATTACATAAATATATTAAATATGTAATTAATTTATTTTATTATATTAAAATATATAAATTTAAATAAAAATAATTATATAAGTTATGAGTTATTAATAACTTTTATAACTTATATTATCGTTTAAAAAAATTTATATTTTTATAAAATTTATTAATATATGAATATATTTTTGCGTAACGCACATATTTAAAACTAATTTAGATTCAAAGCGAGGGTTGTGTGAAAAAGGGGTTTGGAATCGAATCCAACAATAAGTCCAAGTCTACGCGGTTGGGTAGTGGGTCCGGGTGCGGATATCCCAATCTCTGACCCGCCGTACAACCTTCTAAGACACATACCCTTCTCCACCAACACTAAGCTTTCTCTTCAACCGCTCGATTAAATCTAACGGTCAAAAACACCCATTCTTTTTCAAGGAATCGAGAGTGAGCGTGAGATTAGGGGGGGGAAGGCAAAGAGCGTGGCATTTAATTAAATTAAATTTCTCAAAATTTTTATTACAACCGACACGTGTCCATTACCGCTTCATTTTACTCGCCTAAAATAGGAGCCAAATTTCACCGATTTTACCGTTAACCAATTTCCGCCCCGTTCTCCTAGAAAATACATTTCCCTTTGTCTCTCTCTCTTCATTTCTAATTTTCTATTTTCTCTCGCGTTTTCTCGCTCTCGACAGGAAAAAAGAAAGAGTACCTCTTCCTCGGTATCTGTGTTGGTCCTTTTGGATCAAGTTAACCAGTTTCCTGCCCACCCCCAAATCAATAAAAAAGGAAAGGAAAAAAATCGTCAATTTTTAGGCCTAAATTCGAAGAGGTTTTTATTTCGAAGCCAAGGGAGACTTTTTCGTATATTCTCTGTCGATTGCGTTTCGTGTGAGTGTAGCTAGGGAGTCTTTATTGGTGGTAATCTTGATCTTAATGTGGATTTGATTACCGCTCTATCCAGGTTTTCTTCTTTGATCTATCCTTTTTTTTCTTTGATATATTTGATTTGTCGCAAACCCTAGTTTTGGTTAGGTTGGTTTTGGGGATTTGAAACCAAAAAAAAAATTTTAATTTGAGATTAGCAAATTTAATTGATTCCTTTTTTTTTTTTTTGTGCATACAAAAGTTAGATTTAGTTGATGTTTAGGTTTTTTAATACGAGAAAAACTCTGAAATTTTTTGATGCGTTATTTTAGTTTGACATCCAAAATCGAGGGTTTCTTCTTGTTATATTAGATCCTCCATAAGATTATTACGTTTTCATTTTTTTCTTTAATTTTCAATTTCATTTTTCTTTCTTTTTAGTTCTTCTCATATCAATCCAAAACAACAAAAAAAGAGAGAAAAGGAAAAAAAAAAAAAAAAGGAAGAAGACAAATTTTTAGGGTTTGCATTTAAAAAAGATCGTAGGGTTTTTGGTTAAATCCGTTGTATAATTTGAGGATAGAAAGAATCTGAGAATTAGTTATAAAACAATGGCCTTGAATTTTTCCCATCGGCCGATCTTTCCTGCTCATTTGACTGAAGAGAACCTGGTTTCGCCTATGAGAATCGGGAATGGGTTCCTTGTTGAAGGTATCCCAGAGAAGAATGGAGATGGATTTTCGAAATCTTGGCATTCCAATTGTGAAATGGATAATTGCTTTGATTATGGAAGGGATTATAGTGGTGATGGATGTGGTTCTCAGGAGTCTGTTTCTAAGGATATTCTTGATCTTTTGCCATCGGATCCTTTTGGAATGGATATCTCCACTACTTTCACAGCAATTACTGGTTGGCTGGAGGATTTGGAAGCTGATTATGGCTGCCATATGAGAGATGATGTGGGGACTGGTGATGGCAGTTATCAGCTGTTTGCAGGATTGAATTTTATTTGGAACAATGCCATGAGGTTTCAAACGTTCCCTGGAAGCATGGGGCTTGAATGTAAAGGTAGTGTATCTGGTGGATTTGGTGGGTTTTCTCAGGCGAATGAAGGAGGGGATGTGTCTGGTAATGCTGGTGGACCGGCTTGTAATGTAGAGGACGTTTTGTGTTTCAGCAGTGATGATATGGTTTCTGTTGATCAGGAATATGAAGAATTTCAGAATTGTGAGGTTTGTTCTGAAGGAGGTGAAGGAGCTCCTCATGAAGCTCTGATTTTGGCCCTTGGTTACCTGGGTGTGCGGGATCTTTTTGCCCTTGAAAAGGTTTGCACATCTCTGCGATCTACAGTTCAGAATGATCCCCTTTTATGGCAGAGTATTCACATAGATCAGCCGCTAAATGAGAAGCTTACTGATGATATTCTTTTGCAAATAACTATTAGGGCTCAAGGTAGCTTGCAATGCTTGAGCCTGGTAGATTGCCAAAGGATTACTGATGAGGGCCTTAAGCGTGTGGTTGAAAATAATCCAAAGTTAATCAAGGTTAGTTTGTTGCTTTGAAACATTGATTCTCATGTGGGTTTCTGAGTCCTTGTTTGTATGGATATTGTGTTAGAGGTGTAATGGGTTAGTTTGCCTGCATGTTTTCTGCTCAAGCAACATATATGTGTAGGTCTAATGCATTTATTCGTGATGCTTATGCTGTTGCATAAACCAACATGAATATAATCAACTGATCTGGTCAAAGTTACTGTGATGTTTTTTGGATTAAATGTTTTAGCTTCTTTTTGTTTAACACTTTGTTGCCTAACTATACGTTAGAATCCGAGTTTTGCATTTTAATGCAATGATATATGTAGGAAATTTATTTTGAGGGTTTTTCTAATGCTTGGAAAACGTAAAGTTTTGAAGAAACAAATCTGGTGATATGGGAGTACTAGCATGTAAGCATATTTCAAACTTAATTGGGCCATTTCGTAATTGAATCTGTTTACTTTGGGACAGTGATTTTTAGTTTTAGTTGCTATGAGTATGAAATATTTTGGTTTAGTTCAATATTCTTTTCTACATCTTTATATTTAGATTAATATTTTTGCCTTTCTATTGAAAGCTACTAAATATTTTCCTACTCCTTGTAGCTGAGTGTACCTGGATGTACAAGACTAACTATCGAGGGTATTTTGAATAGCCTAAAGGCTTTGAAATCTATTGGTACACAAGGGGTGAAGTATTTGAGGGTTGGTGGGCTCTATGGTGTGACACAACAGCATTTTGAAGAGCTGAAGTTCTTGTTGGGCGTGGACAACAAGATTCAGCAGATTGTGCACAAGCTTCATTTTTTTCAAAGGGGAAATGTGTATATCTCTTGTGAAGATGATCGTGCCATTGATATTGAAATGTGCCCAAGATGCCAGAACATGAGGCTTGTTTATGATTGTCCTGCAGAGGGTTGCCAGCAGAAGGAGCATGCTGCCCAGTTATGCAGAGCTTGCATTCTTTGCGTAGCACGGTGTTTTCAGTGTGGTCGGTGCATTAATGACAGTGAGTATGAGGAAACATTTTGTCTGGAGAAGCTTTGTTCAGATTGTTGTAAGCTACAACTCTCAAAGTGCCAGGAGAGGTAGAATAGGATGATTGATCCATCTATTCTACCTGCTCTCCAACAAACTGGCAACCTTCATCTCCATGGCTAGACTGAAATATTTACTCATTTTCTGGTTTCTAATTGTGGCTAAGATGTTGCATTTGTGAATTAGAGGGAGCCAGGCAGCAATGTAAAAGACTATGCCATATTGGGTCCTCCGAGCCAAGGATTCATGATTTTTAGAGGAGAAAAAGACAATAAAATCTTTCGTTGCATGTATTGTCCAGGACAAATAATCATGTTTTGGTGGTTTCTATTGTTAGCATTGGCCCTTGGTATACATCTTTGTGTTTGCTTGTGGATGGTCTATGCTGAAGTTGGGTATGGCATGACCTTGTGTTGTCAGTAGTAACGTGGAAATGTGAGATGTCAACTTGAACGGACTCCCTAAGCGAGCTCATCAATTTGTTACTGTAGATTGAGAAATTTTTTTGGCCTTTCTGTTGCCAGTTTTGTTGTGATCAACATTCTTGCTGTGCTGCTGCACTTTGCAAGGCAGGACCACCTGGAAGTATATTATTCTACGTGGTTCTCTGTGGAGTCTGTTTATGGAACCTCTCTTCTCTGAGCCGGGAAATCTTAGCAGGTGCATCCAATATCTGTTATATTGATCCCTGCTTTTTTCCTAACAGTTGGAATTTATCTTTATTGGAATTATCAATGATACAATGGTACTTGTTCTTCCATGCTTATGAGTAAGACTTTCTCTTTTCATTGTTTGATGTAAAATTATAGATGGTTGCTTCCCATAAACGTGCAGTGTGTTGGGCATCACAGAATAGTATGCTGACTAATGTAAGATACGAAGTTGAATGTTGTGAAATAAAGTTTAAATTTGACATCAGTCTGTTTTTTTTTTTTTTAAATAACTTTAGATGGTTTAATTTGGATGAATTCTACCGTGAATTCGATTTGCATTCTCTTCAATGCTAGATGGTTCGACTCTTGTTTCCGATGTGGGAGACACTTGAAACAAATTGAAGTATCTAGTGTGTTCGAGAGAAGTCAAAGCTGCGAATTTGTTTTATCATTTCCAGAATCATGCTAACATTAAGATTGCCGCTTGCTAAGTCCCATCAACCATGTAGGTAGGTATAGGTTGCAATGTTTTGTGAGGTAAATATTTGCAGACAGAGAAGTTATCCTCAACACAAACCTCTGGGGATGCTTCTTCTACCTGGAAAGGTACTTCGGATCCAGTATCCACGTAGCTTAACCAATTGCTTGATGTTTCCTTATTAGTACATTTAAAAAAATCAATTGATCAGTTGAGTTATTATACGAGGGTTTTTCTTTTTCCCTTTCTTTTAACGCAAGTCTGGTTCAAACACATATTTGGCTTGATATAACCCAAGTTTGATTTCTATTGATTCGAGTTGAGCCTCGAAATTAATCTGACTTGATAATATTGAATGATACAGTTAAGTTTGACGGCCAAATTAATGATCTCAGAATTATCATATGCTTGACTTTGCTTAAAACATTCTACAAATAATTTGCCCTCCTTGAATAATGATGTACCAAATTCAATCATTTGAAAGACGAAAAGGAGCAAAAATTTTCTTTTCTTTTTATTCCTTAGACGAATTTTATCAGTCAATAAAGAAGGGAGTTGGGAAGAATTAACTGTAAATAGAATGTATGGTAAAACAAAGACAATAAAAATGAGGTTGGGAGGATCAATGGTGGAGCACAGCCGTCCGCACGTGCTTCTCATCTGCAGTCAACTTTTTGCTCAGATTTCTTGCGTAGTTCTTTCATCCATTTGAAACTTGACAATGACTTGCCAAACTTGCTTTTGCTCGAACTATCCCGTTTCTTCTTCTTGTCGTCCAATGCTCGCGGTGAAGGATCAGGGTTGTTGTAGTCCCATTGATCAGCCCAGGACCCAGAATCCATCTCTCCTTTCTTTCTCTTTTCTCCTGTATTGCTTGAATGCTTTTAGATCAGCATTGTTAATTTTTTGCCTCTTGTTTGACCGGAGCAGACAAGCATATACAGACAAGTTTGGTAAAAGTTAGTTATTTTAAGGTGACCGGCCTTAGTATTTTCTCTTTAACTGACATTTTGCTTTCCTAAACCAGATGTTCGATAACAGCCATTTCTCGTTCATTTGGCTGGAGGTTCACATATATTGCTTTCATTTTCGTATTTCGGATGAACTACTGTGAGAAATTTATCTTCTATCATTGACTCCTAAAAGCAATGACAGGTCCAGCCATGACTTCTAAGTAGAGCAAAAGAGAAGGGAAAACTTTTGACAGAGAATTAACTGTAACAGATTTAATTATAACTCACCTCATAGCACCCTTGTTTTGCTAGAAGGCCATCTGGGGATGCACCAAGCCAATCAAACTGCTCCTTCGAATGGATAGCAAATCCTGATGAGCTAGCCTCACGACTTTTTATACTCCTGTACTGTTCAATAGCTGCTGCTTCATTGAGCACACTCCACTCCATAGCACACCTTTTAGGAGATTCCAGAACCTGCATTTCTGACGCAAATACTTTTTCATTCCAGAGCTCAGAACGGCGTTTTCCTTTCCAAAAACCCAAAGCAGTGCTGAAGGTGCTTGTGGTTAATTTGTTCCTCCGAAGAGCAAACCATTCATCTGAGCTTGAGGTGCAACAAATGGGGTAAGGTTGACAGCCAGCACTACTGATGACGGGGAACGAACAATAAATGGGGTGTTTGAAGAGACGTGTTACAATTCTGGAGGAAAGGGTTTTTTTTTTTTTTTTTATATCCATTTCTCCACCTTCTACTCATGGACAAGGGAACCACTGTTTTGCAATGAATGTCACAAAATCTAGTCATGTTGGAATTGCTCATTGTGAAGATGGAACTAGGCTGTCCAGAGCTGCTTTATTCTGATACAAGATCCAACAAAAGCCATGCAAATTTTAGATGGATTCCAGTTTAGGACCAAAAGAGACAAAAAAAAAAGATATATTTCCTACATCAAATTCTGTTTATCATAAAAGTAGAAATAAATTAAAAGCATAAAAAATCTACAGAAAAAAATTATTCCAAAAAAATATAGAATAAGTTGGTTACAAATCCATACATTTCACAAATAATAGCTAAATCAACCAAATCTGGGTGTAGAAGAAGAAATTTTTTATCCTATCACAAATTTCCACATGTCCAGAAATTTTATTTAATTAATTAATTAAAAAATTTGCAAGTGATAAATTATTTATTGACATGTGGAATAATGATATCATTAATTAATTTTATAATTAATTAAATATGTCTTTTGGCAATTGAAGATAAATACATTTGATTTGGTCAATTAAATTTTATCTGTAAGTCATCCAATTTATCTCTTAATTAAATTAAAATAATTTAGAGATAAATATAGATTTTGATCAATCAAATTTTAAGAATTTACGTGGCATTCAATCAAATTCCACCCATGAATTATCAAATTTTATCTTTAATTAAATTAGGGTTATTTAAAAATAAGATCAAAGAGGTTATTTTTTTGGAACTCTCTCACCCAATATCACCTAACATTATAAATAGATAGTTCCTCATAATCATTGGAAGATAATTCTGGGAAAGGAATAAGATTAGAAGAGAATTATCTGGGAGAAAGAAGGCCAAGAGCAAAAAGCTCCCACAGCTTCAAAAATGAAGATCAAGAAGACAATTCTCGAAAAATGAAGATCTGAAGATCAAGAAGAATGAAGATTTGAAGACCAAGAAGACTGATGGAGGAGAGAAGATTTGAAGAATCAAAATCTCCAAAACTTTCACAAGTTCAAGATGGAAGACATGAAAAACAAAGTCCAGAATTGCAACAGACAAATCCAAGAAAAAAAATCTGAAAATCAAAGCCTCAAGATCTGAGAATCCCGAGAAAGGAATCAAGATCTAAAAATCCTTAAATTGAGAGCAAATCCCAAGTCTCTACTACTCTTAATGAAGTCCATATTCCTTCAATTCAAGAACATGTCTCATCCAGCTTTGAAGTGAAGCTCATATTTCTTTAAGTCTCTATGATCCTTCAATGAAACCCCTATTCTTTCAATTCAAGAATAAATCTCTAAGACCCTTGAAGCAAAGCTCATACTTATTTAATTCAAGATCAAGTCTTTTAAATCCTTGAAGTGAATTTTTATTGAAGAAAATAATCAGAAGATTTTTTTTATAATAAAAATTATCAGAGATTGTAATTTACAATTCTAAAAAAGAAATTTATTATTTGTAATTTATAAATCTAATAAAGAAATTTATTATTTGTTTCAAATTTTTTTGTCAGATTTTCAAACACGAAATTTATATGTACACTAGATTTTCACAAACATTAGTAAGCAGCTTTCTTCTCTTCCATCGGACAATGAAAATAGGCATTAAGAAAACAGAAAAGATTACTCCACCTCTACCAAAAAACTCACATAGAACCTATAAAAACCATAACTTTAAATAAAAAATTGGCCAAAAGTGTTTGATCATGTAACTGAAAGAGAACTTGAGAAAGTAAAAGCATTTGATGTCTATCAACAACTACTTCTACTTGTCTTCTAATTTCTCATCTCTTTTAAGTTTGTATTTTTTTTAAATTACAAATAAAAAAATTACAATTATAATCAACTATTATATCCATATATAAAATATTAAATAAAATATAACTAAACTCTTCATTTTTAAATACTATAAACTTTAAGATGATGTTTGGTTCGTAAGAATCTACAAATTTTCTCTTGAAGTTTTGATGGTGGGTATTTAATTTTTATATTTGATTCAAGATAATCCAATTAGAAGAGAAAGTGATAGATTCTTAATAATACATAAAATCTCATAATCAAAATCTCACATATTCTATGGTATTCTAGGATTCCAAAAGAAAAGTTATCTTATTTTCAAATTTGATCTGAATAAAAAATTAAAAAAAATTTATATTATGTTTGGCATGAAAAAATGTCTTAAATAATCTTTTTTTATTTTTATAAATAAATTATTTAAGACATTTCTATACAGAAAATGCTTTGAATAATTCTTTTCTATTTTAGGGTTTAGGGTTTATAGTCAATATTTTTATAAAAAAATTATTTAATACATACAAAAAATGTCTTAAATAATATTTTTATAAAGAAGCCTTAAATAATCTTTTTATATTTTTATAAATGGATTATTTAAAGTGTTTACTTAAATAATTCTTTTATATTTTAGGGTTTAGGGTTAATATTTTTATAAAATGATTATTTAAAGCGTTGGTGTTCTATACAGAAAATAACTTAAATAATCTTTTTATATTTTAGGATTTAAGATTAATATTTTTATAAAATGATTATTTAAGGTTTCTGTACAAAAATGTTTTAAATAAGCTTTTTATATTTTAAAAAATAATTATTAAGTTGTTCATAATATAAAAAAATAAAGAATTATTTAAGGCGTTTTTTGTACAAAAACGTCTTAAATGATCATTTTTCAAATAAATTAAAAGAACATTTTAAAATTTTTTCATGATATATATTACCATCATATATGTCAAAGAGATTATGATAGTTATATAGAAAATACCTTAAATCATTATTTTTTATGCACATAAATAGATTATTTAAAGCATTTTTAATACAAAACACCTTAAATGATCACTTTATAAATAAATTTAACAAATATTTTAAAATTTTTCTATGATATAGATTATCGTTATATGTCAAAAAAATTATGATAATTATATAATAATTAAGATACGTATATTCTCTCAATCAAACAAGTGAATCTAGATATAAAATATCTTGAAAATAAAAAAATTCTTAAATATTATATTTTTTAAAAAAATAATACTATCTTAAAATCTAAGATTTCGTAAATCAAATATTCCTTCATTTTTATACGCAAAACCACCTACTTGAGTTACATATAATACTATAGTATTTAATATTTTAATATTTGGTAACACATTAGTGTTACTTACTTGACTTCAAGGTATCAATTTGAGTACTTCAATCCATCCATCAAGCAAATATATATATATATATATATATATATATATATAAAGGTACTTTTAATTTAATTGTATCCATTATCCAATATGAAACGTAATTCTCTCTTTTATAATATTTCCCCCAAATGCAAACAAACAGAGAAGAGAAGTCCACTTCCAACTCCTACCTCGTTCTCCGCTAATCATTCATACACTACCTCGAGCTTTTACTTGACGCTCTCTTCTGCTAAATCCCCATGATTTCATTTCTCCTTCTCCTTGTCAAGACGCTCACTCTTTTCAACTCCTAAAAGCATAAATCTGCATACCAACCAAATTAATCCTCAAAGAAAAAGACAAAGAAGAAAAACCCATTTCTCATTCAGATTCAAAACTGCCATGTACTTATCGGAAAAGCCCCGTCCAATAGCCTTATACAAAGAGGAAGGTCCTGCCACTGCCCGTGACATGATCATCGAGGTCACCACCAATGGGGATTTGCCACCTCACCACCACCCTCTTCCTCTCCAACAACAGCAACAGCAAATGATTTTGGGTGAAAGCAGCGGCGAAGACCCAGAAATCAAAGCCCCCAAGAAACGAGCCGAGACATGGGTCCAAGACGAAACCCGTAGCCTGATCGGCTTTCGAAGAGAAATGGACGGCCTTTTCAATACTTCCAAATCGAACAAGCACTTGTGGGACCAGATATCGGCTAAGATGAGAGAAAAAGGGTTCGATCGATCGCCGACTATGTGCACGGACAAGTGGAGGAACTTGTTGAAGGAGTTTAAGAAAGCTAAGCATCAAGATAGAGGGAGTGGGTCAGCTAAGATGTCTTATTATAAGGAAATTGAAGAGATTTTAAGCGAGAGGACGAAGAATGCTTATAAGAGTCCAACTCCTCCTCCTAAGGTTGATTCATTTATGCATTTCTCTGATAAGGGTATGTGCTTTTTTTAGGCCTTTTCTTTTGGCATTTAAAAAGGGAAATTTCATTCAATTGTTAATTGGTGATGATGGGTAATTTTTGCAAAGGCTTTTTTGTATTTAAAAATCTGTTTTTGGGTGATATGTGGCTTTAATGGATTTTCAAGGTAAATACTGACTTCTCAGCTGTAGACCATCTGAATTTTTTTGCCTTAAAGCTGCTATAATTTTTGAGGTTGAATTTGTTGAAGTTACTTTCTAAAGTGACTTAAGCGGCCATTATGAATTGCTATTGGAAAAGAAAAAGAAAAGGAAAAAAAATTACTTTTGATTCTTTAAGTGTAGAAGTTTCTTTGATTTGAAATGACTCTGACTGATCGGCTTCCTTTTTTGTTGATGGTTGTGATGAGTGCTTTACAAGAAGGTTTGTTTGTATTCATGTATCCTTATGAAGTTGGTACTCACAAAACTACTGCTTTTAAGTGATATATTTATTGTGGAGTTTAGAAGGGTAAATATTTAACATGTATTATTTCTGCTTGTGGAGCAAGGTGTCATGTCTAAAGAACAAATGAGTGATTCCAAATATGATATGGAGTTCAAGGTACTTAAAGCATGAATCATGCTCAGCAGAACATGTTCTGCAAAGCAAACCTCAAGATATGGCATAAAGGCAGTAGGCTTCTATGGTTTCCTTAAAGTTTAGAATAGAACCTGTACTACGAGCAGGGAATTAGTATGTCCATATATTAAGAATTCAAATCTTATTTTGGTAGAGATAATTATCAATAACGGTCTATTGATTTCCTTTCTGTTGTCTTATTTTGTTGGGTCCATTTCCCAATAGCTTGATTCTATGTTTACATGGTTTCCCCTGGTTTTGTCTTGGACATCATAACTTGCTGTTGCATATCAGTTCATGAAAGCAGTATATAAGTTTTAGCCTCCTGCTTTTGGAGATTTCAATCTGTGTGTGTGTGTGTGTGTGTGTGTGTGTAGGCTACCTGACTGATAGTTGTATTGTTTGTATATTAATTGCAACATATTTTAAGTTTTCCTTTCTATTATCATGATTGTAATGATCTGCACCAATATGGTTTGACTCTTGCAGGTTTTGAGGATACTGGCATATCATTTGGTCCTGCTGAAGGTATGTTGTTATAATTCGAGTTTTCTGTCTTCTGGTTTATCTTGATTTCTCTGTTCACCCCTTTAAGCTTGCAGTAATTTTTTGTCAAGTTAATTTGGGTAAACCTTAGAATTTATTGGATGCAATGGCATTAATCTTATCAACCCTATACCTCATCAACATCTTGCCTAGATTTAGGAGCTTTGTGAGTCATACTCAGAAGTATCTTGAACACAAGTCCTATTTGCAGAGCACCAGGTTATATGCATGGTTTCCATAAGACCAATGTTGTTACCTGTGATATTAATCAGACAATCTTTAGGTACTCTCACCTGCCATTTATTTCGTTAGCTAAACATGATGCATTTTTTTGAACTTAAAACTCCACTTTTTTATCAAGTAATCTCTCTTTTCAGCATTGTTAACATCTTTCATGATGCCAAGATACCTCCATGGACATCCTTGCTTGTTTCTTTCCCTTCATTCTCAATCTCTTGCAGTGAATTCTGACCTTTTAATTGTAGTGAGAGTGTCATCAGCCTTGAAGTGAGCCCAACATCCCACCTGCTTCCAACCAGGATAAGTTATCCTGAGAGTGAAACAGTCTTGTGCTGGTACCCATGTTAATTATCTAAGCTGTCTTACTCTAATACTATCCTTATTTCATGGAACACACAAATAGTATAAATGGAAATTGTTCTTCCTAACAATGTCCTTGCCTAGGGCCCCATTAGGATCTCTAGCAGTCAATAGTATATTTCATTATATCTGCCCTTATCTTTCCATTTAAGGATTTTGTTACATCTGCACAGGACTATAAGTGGTTTTTGTGCCCCAAAAGCTTATGCCTTTGTAAACCCTTAGATGCATCCAACATAAATGTTTTTGCTGGTGGCATAAACACTGAAATGTAGTTTATTGAATGTTGAAAAAGTGAATATCTATCACTGGGGTTCATAAGCCTGCTATCTATATTTATGTGGTTATACAAGGTTATGCCTTCTATTAATTTTTAATCTTAATTGGATTTTTATTTTACTGGGAATATTTAGAATGGGAAGCTAAACAATGAAAAGCACATTGATTTTGCAAGTTGATGCACTTCCACACTGGCTCATCACTTCAGTTAAAAGGAAAAATTATGTACTCTGCAGAATTGGCAGAATTGCTGGCTGATCTGTAGTAAACAACTTTGTACTGAAGCATTTCTTTCATCTGTTCGCAATAGCATGTCTAAAGTTATGCATCTCCTTCTGTTTGTTTTTTCTGGTGTACAGCTAGTGGTAGGCCCGCACTTAATCTTGAAAGACGTTTAGATCATGATGGTCATCCTCTTGCTATCACCCCAGCTGATGCAGTTGCAGCCAGTGGAGTTCCTCCGTGGAATTGGCGAGAGACCCCTGGAAATGGTAAGTTCAGTAAATTATAATTTTTGCTGAACCGATTTTACGAAAAGATATGATGGTTTTGCATGTAGCCCAATGTTCAGGTGTTTGGATAGTACATCACGGGCACATTTTCCTCCATACTTGCTCAAATGAACGTTATTGTGGCAAACACTCTTGATTTGGAGCATTGGTTTCCAAATCTTGTTTGAGATGAAAATTTTCAGTCCTATGAAAATCTTTATATGGACTTCTCATTTTCTTTCACTATTTTTGGTAGTTGGCGACTGTCAGTCATATGGAGGAAGGGTTATAACTGTCAAGTTTGGGGACTACACCAGAAGGATTGGTATCGATGGTACAGCAGATGCCATAAGAGAGGCAATTAAATCTGCTTTTAGATTGAGAACTAAGCGTGCATTTTGGTTGGAGGATGAAGACCATATAGTTCGTAGCCTTGACAGGGAAATGCCTTTAGGGAATTATACACTCCACCTTGATGAAGGTAAGATTGGATGCATGCAGTTTCTACAACCATTCTGACAAAAATTTCTCAGGTAATTGATTTCATAAAAATATAATAGATGAAAGATACAGGTCTGATCTGAATGATGTAATAAACTTCTATCATCTACAAAGCATGGGAAAAGGGTACAGCCTATGGATGTCTAACTCACCCAAGCTCTGCACAATGTGAGAGCCTTGTGCATTGGGCCACCCTTTAACATCGTGATCTGTTGTCTATTGATCTAAAAGCGATATATCCTGCAGTTAGTACTTAGTAATGCAGAGTTGCGTTCACCGAAAATATTACAGAGCACAACCTCCAACAACTCTAAGCCAACATCTTAGTTTTGCTATCAAACATACTTCAGGCATATTACCGATAGAAGAAAATAACATGAAAAGTACTTTTTTTTTTGTGTAATTTTGAACTCCTGCATTCAGGTTTGGCTATAAAACTGTGCCTCTACGACGAGTCAGATCATATACCAGTCCACACGGAGGAGAAGATTTTTTACACGGAAGATGATTATCGTGATTATCTAGCCCGTCGTGGCTACACAGGTCTCAGGGAGATTGATGAATACAGAAACATTGATAATATGGACGACCTTCGACCTAATGCTATATATCGAGGTGTGAGCTGAAAGCTGGTGCATCTTGCTTGCCCAAATGCAGTGCTCTCAAGAGGCTATAAAGTTGCCTTGTCTTGACACAAGTGTGCATGTGGGATATTCTAATATTTGCTCTGGTGCATTCTGAAGATTGCGATTATGTTGTTCACATTAACGCTTGCCAATCAATCCTGAACCCTACTCAGCTGTTAATAATAGCCGGTTGTATAATGTTACTTCGCAGGCTTTGGGCTCCGGCCTCCAGTATAGTTACTGTCAATGTGGCGAGGACGTCCCCTTTGTTTGTAAAATATGCATTTCAGATATTATTTCTGGCTAGGTTTTCGATGGGGTCAATTACAGCATTTTGATTGCAGTCAGCGATTTGACATGAACTCCAGTTTTGAAATTTTATTTTGCTTTTGGTTCTTTTAAATAATATTGCATATTTGCGTGAAACCGTAGTCTCAAGCGCATGATACTACAGCTCCATGCCTCGACAACAATGCAACAAAATACTTAGCTTTTCATGGTTTGTATACATGCTTAAAATCATACAACCGTGGGAGAAAGAATTTGGCACTGTACTGAAATTCTTGTGCACCAGGTTAATAATACACTTGAAGGATTACTCCAGCATTGGACAACCAAACTGCAAACACTGAATTTTTCTTTATCATCCTTCATAGCAATCTTGGAAAATTTATTGTTTTTTTTGGTTCAAGGGAGGGTATAGTCTTTACAAGGGGAAAAGAGAAAGGAGATCTTAGCTTGAAATCAAGACTTCTATATCCTCGTAAAGCTTCCTTAAACACTAGACTAAGAGGTGGAGAACAACATTTGTGAATAGAAGATTCACATATTATATTGCAGTAGGAAAAAAGAAGGAAAAAAGGTTCAATAACTCTACTGCTCGTCCCATTCATCATTCTTGAATGATACAAGAGTGTCAACCTTGTGTATCTGCATAACCCCAACAGACGGAATCAAAACAAAATTTTGCCCTCAATTCTCTAAACGTAACTTGATTTGCTTTTGCAACATTACCTTGGTATCAAAGGAATGCAACTTAACCATTTGAGGATTTGCAATCAACTTGGGGTCACTCTCAATCCAAGTAAATGGTACTGCAATATCTTTATCAGTGTATGCCAATACATCAAACACACCTGGAAGAACAAGCAATACAAGTGGGAGAGAGTGGAAGACATGTTTTGAGAAGAAGATGAACAAATGCTTTTAATCAGATATCTCTCTTACATGGTTCATCAAGGCATGGCAAGTACGTAATACTCGAGGCAATCTGTCTCATGATTGCCTGTATTTCTCGCATGATTTCCTTGTCACTCTTTTCCCTTGACACACTGCAATCAAAAACACAAAGGAGGAACCAATGACAATCAATCTCTGAGATTCAACACAAAAACCGGACCGTTAAGAACATCTGTCAAGTAAAAATGATCATCAAATATTACCCTTTCTCAACAACCTCAGTGTCAGTCTCAATGCTAAAATTCCACCTCTCCAAGACCTCATTGGTTGCCTTGCTCATGATAACCAACACAACCCTCTGTAGCTTCCCAGCTTCCAGCCATTCTTTCCCAACAATTTCAGAATCAAATTAAGTCACCAACAATTTCATTTTCACAATGTCAGAAATGATTAATATGGATTTAAATGGCAAAGATTTACCAGAAAGTTGAGCTGTTAGGTTGGTAATGAAGGATTTAACACCTTCATCTTGAGTAAGCAACATTGGAAGCCCATATTTTTTCACTTTCACAAAACTTTCTTCTGGATAAACTCCTCGATTGTACAGAATGCTAAACAAAACAATTTTTTTTATGAAAAATCAATAAGAAAACAAGGAAAAGAAACCCAGAAATAATCATCCACTCATCTTTACCTATTCGCCGCATATCCTGAAAGAAAACAAAAAGAATAAATCAGACAAAATTTCTCAAAAACCGCACAAATCCCATAAAAGGTAAAAGAAAAAAAAATTATGCTGCGAAATCACATACCAAAAAACTCGCTTACGATTGCCGCTGAGCCTCGAAGAGTGATTATATCTTTGGCAACTGTTCTTGACGCCATTGGACTTCTTTTACAACCAAATTTTCTATTGTATTCGAAGGGAAGGCTAACCAAAAACAAAAGAAACAAAAGAATTGTAATTGGTAAAAAATCAGGGGAAATTGAAAGTGGAATTGGGGATTAAGGAAGTAGAAAATCAGGGTTTGGATTAGATGAAGAGGAATATGGGGTGATGAGTTTTCAAGAAATATGGGTAGAAAAGAATGAATCGAAAGGACAAAAAAAAGCAGAGTAACGGCTAGTTTCTTGATGTCCGTCTTGGAGCCAACGGTAACTTTTAAATTGCGCCTTTAACGGTAAGAAAGTGGGTCCGCTTTTCTTTTTTTTTAAGTACGAAATGTGCGGCCACGTAGGATAAGTAGAAAGGGGAGGAGGGCTACTTTTGGAGCTTTTTCCCTTACTGAGGCACTTCAAGATATTATTTCACTGACCGAAGTACTTAAAATTTTTTCCAAACAGCAGGTTATGTTGAACAGTAGGATTCCATATTAGTATAATAATTCTAAGTCATCTTCTTTCTCCATCTTCCCCATCTCCTTTTTCTTCCTAAATCTGTAACTATCGTATTTCCATCTCAATTTTTTTCCAACAAAAAAAATTCTTGGTTAAGTTTTCATGAATGAATAAAAAGAATTCATATTCTTTTTTCAATTTCTTTTTTTTACAAAAAATAAAAACCCATGATTGTCGTCATGAAGATCCATCAACTTTAACTAAGCTAGTAAACATGGGATATGGCAGTGATTATTTTTTCTTAATACTTGATGCTACTAAAATTTGAACTCTAATTAATAAAATTAAGAGTCAAATAATTTATTAATAATCACGTGATTTATTTTTTTTATTTCCCTTTTCTCATGAATAATTTAGAACTTGAATTGTGCCTTACCGACATAACTTTCAATTGAATTCATGAGCAGGGTGTTAGAATTATGATAATTTTGAAACCCAAATCTAAAACAATCAAGTTAATGGAAGTATAATTAAATAATTAATCAATAATATAAAAAATAATGATTTAATAAGATTCAATCCAATTAACCTATATTTACAGATAAAAAAAAAATCAACTAAGTGTAAAAAATTATAAACATAAACAAATCAATCAATCACTCACTCTTAAATAATATTTGTCATAACATCTAGATCTGTAGACTTATTGTTAGATATAATTTAAAAAGTCATCACTAATTTTTTTGTATAGGTGCGATTAGTCAATTAACTGAATCTTTACCATTTTAAAGAGAATTTTTAAATTTAACTCAAGTATCTTTAAAAGGTAGATTCAATATCCACGAAATCAAAACTAAGTCTTGAAGTACGATTATATATAAGAAAAATTATAATACCATCACAAGGCCCATCAAAGGTTGGTGTTAACTTGATTTCATATTATCCATTAAGTCTTAAAAATTTTATTAGATAGTTAATTTTGAGAATTATTCTTAATAGATTCTAATACTTTTGATAGAAAATTAAAAAAATTTTCTCACTTCTGAAGTATACAAAAAAATTATTATTTCTGTTGTAAAGGTTTTATAGTCATATTAATTAACATTTATTTAATGAAATTGTAGAAAAATTTAAATTCCAAGGAAAAAAGTTTTCCTAAAAATTTTTTATTTTATTTTAGAAAAAATTAATGCTTTATTTAAGAAAAATTGATATTTTAACTTTTTCTCAAAATATTTTTTCAAATATTTTTTTATTTAAGAAAAATTGATACTTCAACTTTTCCTCAAAATAATTTTTGAAATATTTTTTATTTAAGAAAAATTAATATTTTAACTTTTCCATAAAACATTTTTTTGAAATAATTTTTTATTTAAGAAAAATTGTTACTTCAACTTTTCCTTAAAACATTTTTACTTCAACTTTTCCTCAAAACATTTTTTTCAATATTTTTTTTATTTAAGGAAAATTGAAACTTCAACTTTTCCTTAAAACATTTTTCTGAAATAATTTTTTTATTTGTGAAAAATTGATACTTCAATTTTTTCTCAAAACATATTTTTGAAATATTTTTTAGTAAGAAAAATTGTTATTTTAACTTTTCTTTACAATATTTTTTTTAAATATTTTAATTTATTTTTTCTAAAAAAATTCACTCAAAAATAATAATAATAAAAATAACAAGAAGAAAAAAAATACCGAAAACATCATGGCTCGACTTGACAGCTTGCAAGGTGCGATTGCATGCACAGAGACGACTCATATGTTTGGTGGCTAGGCTTAGTGGCTTAACAAGGGAAATGGGTCACACACGAATTGGATCTTCCATGGACAAACACACATATCCTTGAAACGGGTAAAAAAGAAACCAGATTTTTCTTACCCAAAAATGTTGTCATTTTACAGATAATATAAAAGCCAAAAAAATTATCATTCTTCCATCATTTTTTTTCATTTTTGCTTCTCTTTCTTCCTTTTGATTCTTTCATTCTCTCTCTAAAAATTTTTCAAAAAATAAAAAAAATCAAGAACATCAGTAAGTTTCCAGACTCTAACGCTAAAGCTTCAATAGGCTGCCATTTGTCGTCACTGTAAACTGTCCATAAATGATCAAAAAACCATAAAATTTCCTAAAATCAATCCTTTCAGCCTTTTTTTTTTTCATTTATAAAATTAGTTTCATTCAAAAACGTCCAAAATGGCCTAGATATGTTAAAGCTAGTGTAATTTCCACCACATTTGCAATCTTTTCCACCAAGCCTAATGGTCGTCGTGAACCGCTTACACTACCATTATCAACAGAGGCACATCTACCATTCTTTTACTTTCTGCCTTTTTACCGAATCTTACTACAACTCCAAAATCCAAAATTCAACCATAATCTTCCTCTTCTTTTCTTTAAACCAAACACCAAAATAACATAAAAAAACTTAAAGTAAAATGAACACTACTAATAGGGCTATCTTTATAAATTTTTATTCTTTGATTTTGTGTTGTTGCTAATTTTGCTTCTGGGCATTGTGGTTGGCTTGTTATCTGACTGTGTCTGCCCTATAAATGGAATATGTATTTTGGAAAATACAAGATATTTCTGTGTTGGATTTCTATTGATTATGTTGGGCTTCGAATTTTCTGGGTTAAAAGTTTTCTGTGTTTGAGTTTGTAATTAAAGATTGGATCTATTTTTTATTTGCAGGGTCCATGGCTTCAAGTTGTGTCTATTGGCTGAGCTTGTGGTAGGTGTGGGTTATTTAGTAAGGGTGTAGTAATGATGGACTTTTGTGACAGTGTTTATGTATAAGTTGTGTTTCTGCTGTGTGTAGGTGTGTGTTTCTAAAGGTTTAGGGATTAAGTAGTTAGAATTGTTTACGGAATTACGGTCTGGATTGGTGGTGCATTTTCTGAAAGTCAAATAGAGGGAGGTTAGTGATGATAATGACGATAAATGGTTTTTGATACTGAGTATGGTTAAGTTACCATGGTTAAAGTTGGGGATTGAGAAATGCCTTTTCTATGTAATTATTGGTGCTTAAATAAGCACCAAGTCTCCATAGAATTCAAGATCAAAATGCCATTTGGTTGATTTTTCATCCTTTATCTTCTTTAATTTCAATTTTAATCTCAACAAACTTATCTTTTAATTCCAATTCAAATTCAAACATAATAATCTATCTCCTGAAATAAAAGTAAAACAAACAATTAAAAAATAGTAAAAGGGCTGATTTTGGGTTTAAAATCCAAAGCAAGCCTAAAACTCAAATGATAAATTCAAAACCAAATGGGCTAAGCCTAAAGCCCAACTCAAACTAACTCAAGACTCGAGAATAGTTCAAATAATCCAAAATAAAATAGGGTGTTTACAATTGCTTTTCTTTGCATAGTTTTTGTGAAACAAAAATTATACAAAAACATAGACACTCAAAATGTCCGAGCCTGGTTTCACAAGGACTATAAAATCTTGAAACTTTAAAAATTCACAATTTGAAGTATTCAAGCACTTCACAAATTAACAATTCGCAATGCAAGTTGAAACTCAAAGATTCACAATTTAAGTTCCAAGAATCATAATTTTGAAATTCAAAGACTCGGAAGGTTTAAAGATTCGTCAAAATTTAGATTCACAAAACTTTCAGGTTTGCAAAAATTTCAACTTCGTAAGAATTTCAGATTCTTAAAAATTTAAAATTCATAAGAATTCATATTTTCAATTTCGTAAGAATTTTTCAACTTCGCATGATTTTTAAAATTCACAAGAATTTAAAGATTTGCCAGAATTTTTTTAATTTGCAAGAATTTTCAAATTTGAGAGATTCACCTCCAAATTTTAGTTTAGGGATTCACATCAAAATTTCAAATCTCACATCGAACATTCAAAGATTCATATTCAAAATTTTTAGAGATTCACACCCAAAACTCTAAAAGTTTCAAGGCTCACATCCAAAATTCAAATATTCACATTAAAAAAACTTTAGTGTTTCACATCTAATATTGTAAAGATTCTCATTCGAAAAACTTTTAGGGATTCACAACCAAAATTTTAAAAATTCTCATTTGAAAAAACTTTAGTGTTTCACATTCAATATTTTAAATGTTTTCATTCAAAAATTTTAGGGTTTCATCCAAAACTTCAAAGATTCTGATTTAAAAACTTTGAGAATTCGCATTAAAAAATTTTCAAGATTCTTATTTAAAATTCAAAGATTCTTTTTTAAAAATTTTTAGAGATTATGCCTAGAAGTCTTACAAATCATTCTCAACATTGAAAATACTCCTTCAAAAGGTTTCATAACTTTAAATTTTGGAATGTGTTCCTCGTAAAAAATTATCATCATGAAAATTTTCTCATTTGAGGATCAAAAGTTCAAAATTTTCCAACCAAAGTCAAAATTTTGTATGATAATGATGTAAATACTTTCTCAATGATGCAAATGCAATAATCTAGATTCTTACCATAATGTAGATGCCATACTCTAAACCATGATTCAAATGTGCATTATATGATACAAATACATGACCAAATCATGATACAAATGCAATTATCAAAACAAAGATTTAAATATTCATCGAATTATATACATGTATTGTTCAAACAACAACATAATGCAAATGTCACTAAAATCAATACTATGAAATTCTAATTGGTTGTGGTAATAAGATTCTCAAGACTCTACCATCTCATATTTTCTTTTTATCTTCCCAACACTAACAATTTCAGAATCAATTCACAAATTTCATCAACTAATCCATGTTATTTTCAGCATTTGGTCACAA